GGGGGGGGGGGGGGGGAAGGTTATTCATGATTGTTTTTGGCCATGTACCAGACGGTTTAAATCATCGCAAAGGCTCTGCTTTATTGCTTCTTCATCCTTGACAACTTTTGATGCTGCTTCATATGCCTTTAAGAAGACACATAACTCTTATATAAGAAGACTATTTAAATAAAAAGAGATGGAATTGTGTAATTAATTAACAATCTCTAGACTTCAAAGGTAGGTAGGGGTAAACAATCTCAAGAACAGTTGAATGCCTATAGGTCACAAAACAAGATGAAATGGAAAGTAAAACCAACACCATAATAGCATCTCTAAGGTAAACTACCGTTTATTTAGTGAGTGATATTGGGAAGTAATCATGATTTATGAGACCGTGATATCTGAGATATCAATTGATATGACTTGTTTTGATAGTTGCATTGCATCAAAGCAAAATCAGTGTAAAATCTCTAGTTCTGCTATAGAGAACAAATAGGTAACAGAAAAGCTCACATCAACCTAAAACTACTAACTATATTCCAAGTGAAATTCAGACAAAACATGAGAGGTAAAAACGTTGAGATATATAAATGAAGAAGAGATAGACCTTTCTGGCTTCATCTTCTTTCAACTTAGCAGCATGGATCTTCTCAGTACAGACTTCAATTTTCTTTCTCAAGTGTTCCAGTGCTATAAAGATTTTTAACCAAAAAAAAAAAGAAACTAATCAGCGTGTAGTTCTATGAAGCAAACAAAAACCCCACTAGAATATGAGACTTGATAATACCAGCTTTCTTAGGACCAGCAGTGAGTTTCATCTCCAAGGTGAGGTTTCCAAATTCCCTTTCCACATCCCTTATCTTTGAATAGTTCTCCTCAATGTATCTAACACACAAAAAGAAGCTCTCCATTCAACAGAAGACGAGGTTAAGAAACAACTAACATTCAATTTGTAAAAAGAATATCAATGTTCCACTATTCTCTAAGAGACTAGGATCATTCTCTACCCTTAGGCAACTTAAAACTACACAAGGAGAAGAATGCAACATTCAATCCATGTTTCTAAAGTCTCCTAGTACAGATACCAGTATCCTCTAAGAGAATAGGATCAATCTCTCTACACAAGGAGAAAGAATGCAACATTGATAGAGATAAAAACTCCTATAACGTTGAGTAGTTCCCAAAGAATCTCAGATCGCAAGATATACATTCCTTTTTCAATAACAATCAAAACGTAGATCCCAGGAATCAGATACTTACTTCCTCAACTGAAGCTGCTCTTCCTCGATTATCTGGTTTCCATAAATTCACGATCTATCAGTCAAAACGGAATCACACATACATCCAGAGAGTGATTTGCTAAAGGTTACCTTCTCAGTGTAAGCAATAACAGGAGCTTCTCTCGCTAATCCATCGGGACCTATCTCAGCCTTCAGTTTTGGATCCGAAGCCATCATCTCCGCTTCTTCTTCCTTAAATCAAATGTCTCCAGAAACTATGATTCACATTCACGCGAGTTTCGAATCAAGCGTCTGGATCGAGGAGAGTGATGAAGAACGTGAGAACTATCGTTTGACGGCGAAAATAAAGTTTAAAGTTCGTTAATATTTCACCCCACGTTCCGTTCTTAACACCGTTAAAAATAGCGAAATGTCGGTTATACCCCAGCCTAATTACCAAACTTTTCAAGTTTGACTTTAATTATAGTTACGGAGGTGTCACGTGCAACTCACGTTCTGCTCACCATAATACTCCTCGTAAACCGGGGTTTGATGAATATACGTCATTAATGGTTCGCTTCGGTATGTAAATAAACTCACGAGATTTGTCGTTTTCCATCAAAGAGTGTTTGTCGTTCTAAGCCACAAAAAACGGCACACATTTCATAGAGCATAAATTTTGTTTTTACCTTGTAGAATCTAACTTAACGTAAAACCAAAACACCCTCAATACTAAAAAAAACTCTCCAGGAGATCAACAAACTAGAAACACACAACATTCTTGTGTTCGTACAAATTAGGAACAAAAAATACAGTGAAAAGGTAACGAATTGAGTCATTTTAGGAGCGAGAAGAGGAAGAGAGAAGGTCTTGAACAGCATCCATGGTGGGCATAGCTGGAATAGCTCCTCTCTCTGTTACAGTAATAGCTCCACAAGCGTTTGCAAAAAGAAGCGCCTCTCTTAGTTTCTTCTCATCCTGCAAATTCCACATTAGTCCATCATTATCTCAATCTATTAGTTTAAAAGGCAGAGAAGGTAGAGAGAAGTAAGTACAGTGAGAAGAGTGAGATCAGAAGCTAAGCTGAACAATAGACCGCTCACAAATGCATCTCCTGCACCGGTTGTATCCACTGCTTTCACTTTCACTCCACCAACTTTACCTTTAAACTCCTACAAGAATAAATTATCTAATATAAGTTTGGTATTGAAGATGAAATGTTAAAAAGAGAAACAAAACCTGAGTGTAGTATCTACAGCCATTAGGTCCTTCTGAAACAACAAGAAGCTTAAGGTTCGGATGAAACAGCTTTTGCAACACAACTTCATCATCATAAGCATCATCTCCACCTGTCAGGAATGTTATTTCCTCCTCACTTATCTGATAACAACAAGACTTGTGTCATTTTCAGGCCTAGTGAATGTCACCTAAACTTTGTAATGTTACACACACCTTTATAACATCTGCCAAGTTCCAGATACTCATGATCTCTTCCCTTGCAGCTTCCTCAGATGGCCACAACGGCAACCTCAAATTCGGATCATAGGACAAGAGACTCCCTGACTCTTTAGCTATTTTCATAGCAGCAAGCTGAGTCGAGCGGCAAGGCTCCTCGATCAAACAGATAGATCCGTAATGAAAGATCTTTCCCTTTTGGATCAAATTCTTGTCAAGTTCAGACTCCAAGAGAAGCATGTCAGCACTAGGGTGTCTGAAGAACAGAAACTCCCTCTCTCCATCACTTCTTAACGTAACAAAGGCGAGAGCCGTACGTGCTTTGTCGTCGAATCTCATCCCGGAGTTATCCACATTGTTTAGTCTTAGAATCTCAGCTAACATTCGTCCGAACTCATCATCACCAACCTAATAAACGAAAAAAACGAAAAAAATAATAATAAAAGATTGGAATTTGCATTTTTAAAAATCATTAAAATGAGACCTTTCCAACGAAAGCAGAGGAGCCACCGAGTCTAGAGACGCCAACGGCTACGTTTGCAGGTGCACCTCCTGGAGCTTTCTTGAACGCTGGTGCTTCGGCGAGTGAAACACCTCCCACCGTTGGGACGAAATCGATCAGCATTTCGCCGAAACAGACCACGAGAGTCTCTGAGTCTCTAGTGTCGATCGTTAGATTACCTGAGAGATATGAAGCAAAAAACAGAGGTCTAATAGGATAAAAAAAAAAACCAAGAAGAAGATATCTCATCAAAGATCAAAGCTTTATGGAGAAACAATCAAAAAACAGAAACTAATTCCCAAAACCCAATTCGAATCCAAGGTTGGTCAAGATTGTTAGATCAAGAACATGAGAAGAGAGAAGCGGTGCAAGAACGGTTTCAAACGAACCTGAGATGGCGTTCTCACCCATTGCTTTAGATTCCAGGGATGTTCAGATTCGAAAGACGAGGGAGATGAAGCGTGAGAAGAGGAGAAGATTTGAAAATTTGTTTTTGTACTTAGTTGGTTACGTATTAGTAACTGATAATTTAATGACGTCACCACATTGTGAAGATTCCCGGTTTAATACACACACACAGCTGCTACACACCTATGTAGCTCGTGTGACGATGGTGTGAGTGTAAAACCTGGATCGACATAAATGGAAATTTGTTTCCATAAATAGAAGGAAATAAATGTTAGTAAATCTTGTTGACAAAACATCTCTTCGCTTGGAGTAATACGGTATCAATCATCATCAACTGTATTAGGATTACAAATCACATAACTCAAGTAAACTTGTAAATGTAATAGATTAATTAGAATAACTCTGTGCAATTTTGGACCAGACTTGGATTTGAGGAACAGCAGAGCTAAGACAGAGGATAAATCAAATAGCTTAACACTAAACAATAGTACTAACAAAGACATCGCAAACATGTAACTACATAAACAAGACATCAAACAAATCTTCCTAAGTCAATAAATAACACTGGTAAGAAAACGCTTTATCGACGCTGCTTCCTTCGTGTCTTGAACGGGAACTGAGACTGCGGTGACGGTGAGAACTCTCTAGGCAACTCCGGCGGGCTCATTGCTCCTGTAAGCATCCCTAAAACATCTTTCATAGAAGGCCGTGAGACCGGTGATCTCTGCAGACACTGAAGAGCCACCTTAATACACAAAACCGCTTGTTCTTGATCCACACACTGCAACTTTTCGTCAACCAGATCACCCAGTCTCCCTCTTCTCGCCAGCTTCCGTGCCCACGACATAAGATTCGCACGCTGTATGATCTCAGACGCTGGTCCCGTTACATCTAACGGACGCCGTCCTGAAACTAAGACTAACAACAGAACTCCGTAGCTATACACATCACATTTTTCAGAAACATCATCAATGTTATTGTTACCACAACACTCGGGAGCAACGTAACACATAGTCCCTCTCATACTCGGCGTGCTACTAACTCCACCACAACTCTTAGCTGAATCGCCACTGGTCTTCCGCCGCGCTCTCAATTGCTCACCGCCGCTTAACCGTTCTAACCACCAATCTATGCTACTACTTGTAATACTGTTACTGCTACTCACATCATCACTGTGAAACTCAGACTCCAAAGTTTTCTTCTTCTTCTTCTTCTCCTTCTTCTTATTCACTCTCTTAGCTAACTCTTTCCTATACTCATCTTTCCACCATTCTCTCACCATCCTCCTACTCTTCTTCTTCTTCTTCTCCTTATCCTCCTCATCTAATGAAAGCCACCATTCAAGTCTATTGCGACTCTTCTTCTTCATCGCTGCTCCCGAAGTTTCAGCAACCCACTCACTCTCCTTCCTTACCTCTGAGCCTATCCACTGCGTCACATAATCCTTCACTTTCCCTCCACCACCACCACCATTCCCTTCTTTATCCTCCATCTCTTTCCCATTTCTTTTCACCTCCATTTCAGGAGAAACAGACACACTCCCCGCCGTCTCCGGTGACGTCATAGGAACCTCCAACGTCTCCGGAGACGTCATAGTAACCTGCAACGTCTCCGGCGACGTCACAGGAACCTGCAACGTCTCCGGAGACGTCATAGGAACCTGCAACGTCTCCGGAGACTCAACAACCTTACAAACACTCACAGGAGACTGATCAGTGAACCCAAAGTTAACAGACTCATCACACACACTAGCACTAGTCACCACACTCTCAACATCATTACTCCCTAACCTAACTTCAGTAACCGTTACTTCATCACTCCCGGGCCCCACCGTAACCGCCACTTGATCCGACTTCAACCTCGCCAAACCGAAATCAGCGATCTTCGCATTGAATCCACGATCCAACAACACATTACTCGGTTTCAAATCTCCATGAATCACCGGCGGATCCAACCCGTGGAGATCCTCAATCCCCTTGGCGATATCAACAGCCACTAAAAACCTTCGCTCCCACTCCATAAGCTCGGGAGCCTTGCGGTGGAGAAGCGCGTCCTGGAGGTTACCGTTATCCATCATCTCGTAGACGAGAGCCAAACGGCGTCGTTTTCGATCGCGCGAGAATCCGATAACGGAAACCACGCGGGGTGAATCGAGTTTGCCTGCGAAGAAGAGCTCGTTCTGGAACTCACGCTCTCCCTGGAGAGATCCAGAGTCCATCACCTTGACGGCGACGACGGGGGAGGGGTGAGGTAAGGTGCCGCGGAAGACGGAGCCGAATCCGCCTTGGCCTAGCTTGTTCTCCGGGGAGAAGGAGGCGGTGGCGCTCCGGAGGGAGGAGTAGGTGAATTCGCGGAGGGGAGGTTTCTGAGGCGGCGTGGAGGAGGAGATTACCGCGGCGGAGGAGCGGCGTTTGCGGGTGGATTTGCAGAAACAGAGGGAGAGAGTGAAGAAGAGAGAGAGGCCCACGGCGGCGAGTGTGAGCGGCGGGGAGATGAGAGTAGTTGACGACGGTTGGTTCGCCGGTGACGGCGAAGGGAGTGCTCGCGACGGCATAGGTGTTTGATTGGTCGAAGCGGAAGCATAAACCGGAAGATATTTATTTATGAATTGTTTTTTTTTTTTTAATTTAGACTGTGGAGATGAGCTGTTTCGAAATGTTTTGTGGTCACACACAGTAGTTAATGACTTTTCTTACATTTAATGATTTTTCTTTAAGTGCATCACGCAACGACTATTATTAATGTTTGACAGTTGACACTCTGTGACTTTTTTACTAAATTGTTTCTTTATCAATATTAGTTTAGTGATTAAGTTACGTATTATCATTTACATGTGTTAATGTCATTGGTGTTTATAGTATTAAACTTAGAACGTATAATTCAACTGTATAATTTCACATGGCTCACTGTCACTGAGGTTGGATAGGGGCATAAGGGTCAATTGTCATCAAGAAAATCATTTCGAAATTTTGGATTTTATCTAATTAAATAAAGGAATCCAACAGGCACTAAACTCTGCTGATATTTGATCAAACGAACCGTATATTTCTTAAATACACAATATGGGTTCGGCGACCTCGATTGATATTTATTTGAGCTACCATTGTTCTTAGATGACTTGACAAACTTGTGTATTTTATTACAAGCAGGTCTTTTACGACTTCAATTAACATTTACAAAGTGTTTCTAGAAAGAGCTTGATATCTCCTTGTTTTTACTATTGGTTTTACTTTTAAGTGTATAGTGTGTAAAAATGAGTTGGGAATATTTGGTTTGCAAAAAGAAAATGGTATTATTACCTCATGACTTTTTAAAAACCCATTTGCCTAGGTGTTTTATTTAAAAAGGACATAGAATTACAACAAACAACAATGACAAGAAGATAAAAAAGAAGCTAAAGAACATTTGCAACTACAACATTAGTTTTTCTTACTATTTAGTATTTACCCTTCATGCGAAAGATAACTCATAGATAAACAACACCATTTTTCTTGATATTGGATCACCAAACATGAAGTATTTTTCTCAATTAAAATTGGTTGACAAGAAAAACATTAAAAGTTGTATATATTTGCACCAAATTAAAAAAAAAAAACAAATAAATCATCTGGTAAACAAGATAATATGAAAGAAGAGTAAGCGAGTCTTTCTTGGTAAAATATACTAAAATGGAATTAGTATGTTTTTGCTGCATGTTTGTTCTCTATACTTTTTTCAGAGATTTAATTATGTGAACTAATGAAATTTTAGAGTTGGTTTCGTTTACTCTGGTGTCATTATCTACCACAAAACGTGTTTAAAATGTTACTATGAATGATCTGAAGATTAATTATATATATGTAAATCCTAATATTAAATATTTTAAGGTGACTTGACGTGAAACCTTACTTCAGGGTTATCGAAAGGAAATCCTTGAGTCGTGGTCTTTGTTAATCACCTAGATATATGTTTTGGATTCTAATTAACTTTTAAATGTTTATGGCTTGTTTAACGAAAAGTATGCATTTTTTTAAGTATGTCTATTTTTGAGGTTAATTAGAAGACATATGCTCCTTACATTCAAATCATTAGAAGTCTTAATTCTTTTTATATGATAATAAAAATTATTTGCAATTGCTTCTATCAGTTTTAAATCAAACGCTACATTTTTCATGTATAAAATGATAAGAGTAATGGTGTAAAAAAAAAAGATAATAAGAGTAATGGTGTTCAAAAAAAAAGATGATGAGAGTAATGGTGTTCAAAAAATCTGAACTGCTATCAATTTAAAATTGAAGGAATATCTATATCTACCAACAATAATCAATTAAGACAGTTACAATTAATGTTTTTTTACTAACAATTACAATGAATGTTAGATTTTGATCTTAGATTACATCCTTCAAACCTTACCTAAACGTGATTAAGGTCAACTATATATCATTAGGTAAGCTAAGTAGACCACAAAAATGATATGTTGGAATGTTCTGGACAATCTGTTGCTATAGCTGTTGATTTCAGAACAACTTTTGACATTAAGGTAAGTCACTTACTCAAATTCGAAAGCCAGTTATATAATTAAACTAGATATTAAAGAAAAGTAACTTGGAATATTAAGCAGGGAGGGAAAAGTAGTAGATGTTCTGATTTGATTTTGAGTTTATGGACTGTTTTTGTTAAATACAGAATCAACAAATTAATTACAAAGAAAAAAATAAGATTCTTGATGCTTACTCCTTTTGTGGTCCAAAGACTCTTGAAACAAAACAAGACGTAGAGAAAAGCCACAAGGCCCACAAACACAATCATGATTCAAAGAAAAGTGCGACACGAACACTGAGACGATTCTTGCTTCAGATAATGACCCACAAGAAAAGAACAAAAAGAAAAGAGAATATCTCTTATGAACATTCTCCCAGTCTCAGTCTTTTTAACTTTAAAGAGACAATTCTAGATTCCAGAGCAGCGTTTAGGATCCAAACTTTGTATTCGCCAGGCTTATTCAAATTATTTTCCCTGATTCCTTTAATCTAAATCCACATAGTAACGAAGCAACGCTGTTACCATGAACTAAACTAAACTACACGATGCAGTCTATCTTTAAGACTTTGATGTGTTGTTTGATTTGACCATTGGGAAAATAAGGTCTATCTTTAAGACTTTGATGTGTTGTCTGATTTGACCATTGGGAAAATAACAGTTCACCTCATGTATTTAACAGTACATTGACGCCAATGTCTAAACCGGCAAATGGAACTTAACAGACCAACGCAACGCACTACATTTATATTTTATCCATATAGTAAACAGATACCAACTAATTAACTAATTCAAGATGGTTGCACAACCGCAGTATACACAATTAGAGAGCTCAAATCTCAAACTCAACTATTTGTATTTTATTGGTAAAACGACCATATAAACATATATAATATATTTGCCCATGCCCAAAGTCTAAACCACTCTTCTTACTTTTTTTCACATTCGCCGTGTTGTTAATGTTTTAGTAAACCCCAATTCATAACAAAAACAAGAGACAAGCGCTAAACTCTAAAACTAATCAAGGCTCAACGCTATAATGACCATTTCTTATTCCTTGGCACTAAATACTACTGAGAGCTATTCTTGAGATCAATGACAATCACACTTATATTGTCATTGCTTTGTCTACCCAAAGCCAACCGTGTAAGCAACGTTGCGGCCAATACACTCCTTGAAGGGTTCTGTTCTGATAATCCTACTCCTTCATTGTCGTCTTCTTGAGCCGTTCTGTTTAAATCAAGTCCCGAAGGGGCATCTTCACGGAGACAGAATCTAGCTATGTCGCAAGCTAGTTGACTTGAGAGAACGTCCCAGAGGCCATCGCTCGCTAATATTAAGCATTCATCACCAGGTTCCCTTCTCATGAAGGTTACTTCTGGTTCCCATGCTACCATTGGTTTCAGATACCTATCCCCTGCTCACATGGGGTTGTAACGCATCATTAGAAACAATATTGTGCTAATATAAAACCTGATGTTTTCGATCCAAACTAAAAAAGCTGATCCGTAATTTCGAAATAAAATTGACATGAAACAAAGTATGCTTCGTCTGTTTTAATTTATGTGATGTTTTGATAGAGACACACCAAGAATTGTGTGTAGTGATTCAATTATTCTTTTTCGTTAGAAATACACCTATTCTTAATTCATAGTTTGAGAGAACATTATATACTTTGACAGGAAAAACCAATACAGTTTTTTTTTCTTCTTTTTTGCTTGAAACACCGAAAAAACAATACAGTTATTTTCGAAACGGAATGAATATTTTTGATAAAAACCTAGATTGTTCCAAAAAAAACATTTGATGCTTAGTTTACAAAAAAAAAAAGACATTTGATGCTTGCAATCTTTTTTTTTCCAACAAAGTTTATGAACTTAAAAGATTCAATTCAAAAAATCATCTAGTAAAAATTAAGAGATATTTACCAATCGCCCTAGACGTAGCCAGAATCCCTTCAACTCTAGCTCCGTCCACTACCAAAACTCGACCACCAGCTGCTTCAATCCTCGCACGCTCGTCTGGTCTATCCGGCTGCACAAAACTCAACAACTTAAATCACACAGGACTCCTAACATTCTCGAAACTCTTGTATGAGCTCAAACAGAGTATTATTTATTTAACAGATATCAAACCAAATATCGAAACAATAAAATCACCTTATGGTCACTACTTAGAGGAATAGCCATTCCATTCCGACACAACACCGCACGTGAGTCACCAGTATTAGCTACAACAATATGCTCTTTCGTCAAAACCGTTGCAACAGCCGTAGAGCCCGAAATCGCAACCTCCCTCGGGTCACAGTTACAAAGAGACGCAGTGGTCCTACACATGCACGTCCCAGCCACCTCATCCATCCTCTCGAAACTCCTCCTCATCACTTCCCGCCATTTCTTCTCCACGACGTCGTTTTGCCTTACTCCTTCCACCCCTTCCAACTTGCAACTTGGTTGCTCCAGCTCCTCCTTAACTAACGTGTGCATCGTCGTGCTGCACAATGTTGACACCTGTTAAATTACCAAAAAAACGCCTCTGGTAAATAATTATTTATTGTATTCAAGCGGTTAGCATCGGAAATTTAAAAAACTTTGGAAAATGTTTTTTTTATTGCCTTATACTACCTGAGAACCGCCATGACCATCGTAAACAGCGAAGAAATGAACCGGTTTTTGCTGGTTAATCTCCGGTTTACACAAACTCGGTTTAACAGTAACCGTATCTTCCATCTTACGTGATCTTCCCATTACCGAAACTACTCCGTACATAGGTTCATCGTCTGTCTCTTCTCCCCTCCACACTTGACTTTCTTGTTTCTTGTGAGAGGAAGTCGGAGACGGAAAGACACCTCCGACATCCGCCGGGAGACCTCCGATTTCCGTCGTCGTCGTCAACCGTGCTTGTTTTCTTAGTGGAACAAAGCCTGAGTACATAGTCTCTTGCTCACGGTTCTTAGACGAGCTAGGTTCGCCGAAAACAGCCGCTTGCCTCCGCATCTCGATTCTCCGACGACGGCGCTCACGGCATTTAGTAGGAGAAACGTCGTCTCTTCGTGCGGTGGAAACTGTTCTGTAGATTT